TTTTTTTTTTTTTTCAACCCTCCATTCTATATTTGTTCCAGTTTGAAATTATACAGCTCAAGTGTCAATTTTCTACGGAGATCAGATTTCATTTCTTGTACCCCTCAAAGCATTCTTTTTTAAACTGTTATGCTGAAGCCCAAAAATTATCTGGAATTCACAGTTATAAAAAGAGATGTAAAACTGAACAAGTCAAATGATAATAAGTCCAATTTCGGTAAACAGATAAATTATTTTTTGTACCGTATAAAAAATCAGCCCTAAAAATTGCTTCAAAGTACATTACATCAGCAAATCACATCAAATACAACTTCTTTCTGCTGAATCTTTCAGAATGTTCAAATTAGTAACTGCTGCGCGTTAGTGATAGCTAGAACTTCTGAAATTTTCACTTTTTGAGGCCAAACGATTTTAAGATGGCCCTAACATAGCTAACTGTATGCCACGTTTTTCCAAGAAGATAAGGTGTTTCCATTTATTATCTCCTAAATTTTCCTACTTTTTTTGATAGCATTAAATGAAATATAAACTTCAGGTGAAGTCCAGATTAATGATGCGCTTTTAATTCAGTCTTAAGTTTGAATAAACAGAAATGAGATAAATAGTATCTGTAACGCAATTCACAAAATTAGATTTTTTGTTTTGTTCCAGTTTGATGTTGTCCGCTAAGAGGATGTTGTGGAAGATGCGAGAGCATGATAATATAAAGCGCAGATAATACTAAACTGAGCTCAGTGGTAAAACAGTGCCTCGAAAACGTATACGACATAAGTCCAAATCCCACCTGAAACCTTAGCTTCACTCAATACTATTAAAAACAATTAACTAAATTAAGATCAATAAATGAGAATTCCTCAAAACTGAGGTATGGCATAGCTGTCAAATTGTCAAGCAGTGGTCACGAAAAAATTTATCCTTCAAAAACTCCGTAAAAGTTTCATTAGTGAAATCCATTGCTGAGTGCCGGAAGTTCAGCAAAATCAACAAAAAAAAACTTTGGTTCCATAAGTGGCACTGCTGTCAACGTTTCAAAAAAAAAAGGCTGTGAAGAGTTGAAGTTTTCAAATAAGAAAGATTATTTCCGCCTGGTTTCAATTTAATTTCCATGACGTCGGCAAGCACTCAGTTTGTCCTATGACTCATACTTTACGGTAGACTTTTTTAAAAACAGATTGGCACTAAGGTAAAAAACCATAATTTTAGTAAAAATCAAAAGTTTAACCTTATTTCAACCCATATAAACCACACCTTCCTACAGGCAGTTAAAAAACTAAATACAACTTTTACCTATGGAGGAGGCTAAAAGAGGCGTAAAAAAATGAAAAGAAAAAAATTGACCTAAAAAACTACTCCTCATCATATCGGCTTTTTGCTTTCCTGCCCAAGCTCTTTTCGCCTCCACTTTCAAAAAAAAATTGTTTTTTAATATAAAATCAAGAAAATAAAACGATGTGACTTAAATTTTTGCTAAGACATTAACATTTGTAGAACACCCAATAAATTCAACGTGAAACTTTAGTGTTTTTCTAGAAAGTTTCTAGAAAAAGAAATACCAATAGAAAATGAGAACATCTCCTTTTAATGTTCCAACAACATAAATCAAAAATCTAACAAAAATTTCACCTTTTTAATTTCATTAGTCTGCGCTTTGCAGTTCTGAAATTGGGAATTAATTGTGAGCATATACATTACAAATGAAAAAAAAAAAGGTATAAGGAAGGACACTTACACCAACCAAAAGAAAAACAATGAATGTAAAACAGTCAGGTAACACTAGCAGAAAATTCATAGAGAATTAAACAAATAACAGCAACGATAAGATAGACAAGTAGTTTTAATAAAGACATATTGTAAGAACCCCATGAACTAAACAAAAAACCGAAAAGTTAGATATCTTCAACCAAAAATAGACAGAATTCACTCCTCAGAATCAACAAACCAAATTTATTCAGATAGTTGACTGGAAGCAGTAATAAAACAGCAGCGTGTTACAGCAATGCAAATCCCACAGATAAATCTACCTGTCAGAACCACAGCAGTAAACTACACTGATTTTTTTAAAGGTTAAAAGTAAACTGAAAATTACTATTCAAAGAGACTGTAGTCGTAAATTTTTACAGAAGTAGTCTAGAGTCAACAGCTGGACTATAAAGTCATTCATTCTACAGTTCAACGATCAAGCTAAAACAAAACATGGGCTAGGGTAATCGCTGAACTCCGAATCGGTCTGCCACATCTCAGCAATGTAATGGCCACAAGTTCTTCACCTGCTCTGACGAAGAGCTGATAATAGCCGCAAATTTGCAAATGTCTACAAGTTTCGGCCCGATTACAACGCACTCGACTTAAAGAGCTCCAAAAAATTCAGGAACTGCCTTTTTTTTCTACTATTCCGAATGTAGGATATTAATAGACTAACCTTCCAGTCACTGAATTCCGATTTCTTATTTGCTTCATCAGCTGACTCCCACTTAACCAGTTTATAAGAAAAAATTTCATTTATCCCCCTAAAAAAAGTTGTGAACGAATGCTATAATTATCAAGTTAAGTCTAGAGAGCAAGCATTAAAGTTGCAAAATTATGCAAAACCTATGAATCACGTAACTTTACAAAATACCTAGTCAGTTAACATGAATTTTTCTTTGAACATTTAATATCTTTCCAAAATTTAGTGTTTCACCAGTTTTAAAAAATTTAGGAAAAAAAAGATCATTAAACTTTAAACACGAAATTACTCAAAATCACCTGATAATTTTGAGTAACTTCGTGTTTGAAGTTCAATAATTTGAACTGTATTATAAATAAATAACTGACCTGCAAAAAAAATTAAATAACAGTTCAAAATTTTTGTAGATCGCTCTAACTATCTGATTGTAGCTCACAAAGATGGTTAAATACCTGGAACTACCGATGCGGTTACAGGGCAATAAACATCAAACAAAAAACAACAATTAAACATCAGATGAAAACACTTAGGAAAGAATTCATATGTCAGCAGTTGTACAACATCGTTCTACTGATCTACCAAGAAAAATCGAGAAAATTTCTGCAACCATATAAAGACTGCTTAAAAAACAAAATTTTGTTATTGTAAAAACGGTTTGATCGTTACAGGTAGTTTCTTGGAGTATGTTTAAGTTTTTGGCTGAAAAAGATCGGTACTTGCTTATTGATGTTAGGTTGTTTCTTATTTGCATTACTGTGTGCTTAACTAATGATTATACAGCTTGATTCATACCGGCGTATAAAAAAAGTTTTATTCGTCAAAATATAGTTTTTTTTTTTCAACATTATTATTTGCTGATGCTGATTTGCAGTATTTTGACGACCAAAGGGAATTTATATCCAACGTTGAAAAATGTCGCTTAGACATTTCCATAATCCATTTATAAATCCAGTGGATCGTTACGAGGAATACTTTCGTCATGTCATCGACGATGCGATACGAGATGTTAGAGACACTTTAGCGATACAACCATACTGGCTTAATCAACCACACAGTGAACAGTGCAATATTGGTAACACCATTGGTCGAGTAAGTTTTGTCATTTTTTTGTTTCAGTGTTGATAATTTATTTCAGACACTTAGTCCCAGCGGCTTTATTCTCTTTATAAATTTTTAAGGTAACCAATGATAAGGAAAAGTTCGCAGTGGAAATGAATGTATCACAGTTCTCGCCAGAAGAATTAAGTGTTAATTTGAAAGATCGAGACCTGGTCGTTGAAGGCCATCATGAGGAGCGGAATGATGAGTTTGGCACCATCGAGCGGCACTTTGTTCGTAAGTATCGTCTACCAGAGGATGCACATCTTGAAAACATACAGTCAAACTTAAGCAAAGAAGGGGTCCTTCAAGTGATGGCTCCAAAAAAGACGCTCACTGCTGGACGTAAGATACCAATTATGCCAGCTCCAAAAGGACAAACTGCCGACAAAAAATAAGGCATTCTGAAATCAAAAAGTTTCTTTTGTTGTTGTTGTGGCTATTGTTACGTTTTTTCTTTAGTTAAAATAAAAATGTTCTCGAGAAACCGCGTTTTACGAGCACCAAAAATTACCACAAGTTTAAGGGAAACATGGCAGCACCAGAATGATATACGTATGTTACATTGAAACTATCAGATTTCCACTATTTGGGTTAGTCTGCAAAAGAGAAAAAGAAGGGTTATTTATACCGGTAAAAGCAACTCTATTTATATACTTCGGATAGTTGCTTAACAGTTTCCTTCTGTCCAATTGACAAGAAACTTTACGTGCACAAGTTTTTAACAGTTTTTTTTTGTAAATTTAATTTGGCATATTTTTAAAAGTTTATTCTGACAAATGCTACTTACTGTTAATGAGAGGAAAGGTAGGGTTAATATAGGTGAATTTTATAGGCAAAACTTCTTGCAACTGGATATCATTTAAGACAATCAGCTTTGACATTCTAAAATATTCCAGAAGAAATTGCTTAACAGCGGCAAGGATTTTTGAAATGGAGATCAATTTGCATTACACAGACCAGACTTCAAATAAGAAATAGGTCAAAAGTGGATATCAAATGGCATAAAGAAAAGTATATGTTGTATAATAACGACCTTGAATTATCTAGCAGTTATTATGTAAATAGATTAATGAACGCTTTTGATCTGTACAAACAGTATCATCTTTGATGCATAGCTAACACAATCCATCAAATTGAAACTTTCACATCTGTTGAACGCTCAATACAACCCAGCAACTTCAGACAAAAACAAAAAAGTCCCTTCTATTATTTTTCAAACAGGGGAAATATATGAACAATCTGAACTTTTGATAAATATACACCTGATACCGATGGAAGTTTTGAAAGATCAAAAGGGAAGAATTATTATGGGGAAAACATTGGGCGATCAACCGGATATACTGTATATAGGCATCAACCGTAGAACCATCGTTAATCCCCGGTGCTGCCGAACGGTAGCCATAGCGCAGTGAACGGTTGCGATAATTTCATCTTAAATTCTATTTGAATTTAGCAACTGTTACAACGATATATTTAAATTGGATTGGCGCCAACTGTAATAACACGGTGAACATAGGATGCAGGAAAACCGCGCGTTTTCCATATTAAAACTATTGGTCATTTTGCGTCTTTCGACATGGTCGTTCTGATTTTAGCTTTTCTTTTTCATGAATCTGCAATGTATTGCTGCTTCCGTTGTATATATTCCTGGTGCTTCTTTTTGTTTTCTTTTTGATTTTCAATTCTGCTTTGATTCAATAGGAGCATTTTGTTTTTTTTTTCCTTCATTCGCCTTTTTTTCACCACTTACTTTTATTTTTGTACATTTCTCATTGCTACAGTTGGATTGTCCCACTGGCTTTGTTAATTTTAATTTTACTGACGAGAGCTCATTTGTTCATCACTATTTTGTACTTATTGTTTTTGTTAAATGATGATAATCAGAAACCAGAACAAAGGGAAAAAATTTTATACCTTTTTTACTTTTTAATTTTTTCCGTGCTTGTATCCTTCTCTTTATTTATTTATTTGTTTTGTTTTGTTTTCCTTTTTTTACTTCCAATTTTTTCAGTATTGTTACGAATAGAAAATGTAGAAGTACAGTTGAAGAAATTATTTTTTTCAAGCATTTTTTTTCTACTTCGAGATATAAATCGTTGTTTTTGCCTGCTTTCCAAACTTCCTCATCAGTATTACCTGATTTTTGTTTTAAAAAATAAACAAACAAATAAAAATAAATTATAAAATTAAAGAAAATCTTGCGTCGTACTATACTTGTTTTTATATGCGCTTTCAAATTTCTGTTGATTTTGTGGGTAAAACTAGTACTTTCTTCCCTCCCCTCCCCCCCTCCTCCCAACCAAACTGTTTTTCAATTTCATTAAAGCTTTGGAGGTTCTTTGTCCTTAGGGTGGTGCATTGTGGTTTTCCAATTAACAGGCATTGAATTAAGACAATACAATTTTGAATGATTCTTTATTGTAATTTGTTCCTTAAAAAAATTGGTCTTAGTTTTCACGAGTTACTGACCAAATTCCTTTCTTTTCAACAATTTTTGGAGAAGATTTGAGACGGTACTGCGATGAGATCTGAAAGTTTGAAAAAAAAAAAAGAACATATATATATGAGATGAAAATTGATTGGTAGTTGGTTAATGTTCTGCTAGTGCCAAAATTTTTCTTTTCTCTGTGCCTTAAAATGATTAAGACCGAATAAGTGCGTGTCTCTTAGTCTTCCAACCGTTGTTTTTTCCAGTTTAACTGTTTTTTAAATTGAAGAGCTCGTGTCGATTGTTTTTTAAAGTAGTTGGATTTCATTTTGGTGTGCTCAGAGAAATTTTTTTTCAACTCATTTTGAAATAACAGTGGGGTTTTCTTTTCCGAAGAATGCTGGATTATTACAAGCTATTTTTTTTAATAATTTTTTTTGAGAAGTGTAATCATGTTTCCTTGATGGAAGTGTAGTTCCTAAGCTTTGCAGAATGGCAGATGCAGGATTTTATCGTGGGACAAGCAGTGAACAAGACAGTCGTTTTACGGACAAGGAGCGGAAACTGCTGAAGCAGATGAGATTCGATGGAGCGCTGGATCAAAAGGTTCATTTTAAATTTTATATTTAAGATTTTTTTTACACTCTAAATTGGTCTGAGACCGTTTTAGCTCATCAGCAGTGTTTTGGTATAACTTTTTTACAGTATTTATTTGCTGAGTATGTTAACAGTAGACTCGGATGCGCTTAGGCTTTGGTTTTGCTTTAAACAGCGTCACTTTTGTTAATTCCTGATTTTTTAGGTCTGTTATTTGAAATAGTCTCATGAAGGTGGCTTGTGGGCCAACGAGAAATTTTTTTTTAATTTTTGAAACATCCTAGCGCTACAGTGTTTAACCACTTAGTTGTTTGCGGTCTTTATTGTTTTCGATTATAGGAGTGGGTGTTGACGGATTGGATCAACTGTTAAGGCTGAGATTTTAGATTTAAGTTTTGGTTTATTTTATGCTACCAGCATAGTAGGGGGTGTGTTGAACAATGTGAAGGAATTTTCACTTTCTCGGTGCAAGCAGGGTAGTTGATATAATTTGCAAAATTGTTTGTATATTCGTATTTGGCATTACTGCGCGGTAGGATTGTTCTTGCTAAGTTGTTTTAAGGAAGTGTCCATTTTAATTTTTGTATTTTTCACCGGTTACCGTGAACATCAGTGTCATTATTATTATTATCATTATTATTTATTTTTCTAGTTGCTTTTTTCTTTTTTGTTAAATTTTGTCAGGTAAGTTAGTCCGTTCATGCCGTATTAATCAGTGTTTCAGTTACAGGATGGTAAACTTCATTTTAAAACGCCCTTTTTGTCCTATGCGGGTTTGTTTGAACTGTAAGTGTGGGGAAAGTTGATATTTCTTTTATACGGCATGAGTATAAATTGTGGCTTTTGAATTTCTTTCTGCAATGTCTGGGGTTCTCTTTGGATTTTCCTAATTGTTCAAAATTGAAGAGCGCTGTGTGAGGTTGTGTTCTGTGGTTAAGATCTGCATGGAGCGAATCAATCTGGACGTTGTGAAGCCATGGATAACTGCCAAATTAAATGAAATTTTGGGAATCGAAGATGATGTAGTTATCGAATACGTATTCAGCCAGCTTGAGGAAAAGACTATCAATCCGAAGGTGATGCAGATTAACCTGACCGGCTTTTTAAATGCTCGGCGTGCTAGGGAATTTATGGGTAGGTATTGCTGATCAATCACTGCACTTCATATAAGCTTATTGCATGCACATTGGATTTTCGAGCTAAACAAATATTTCGATCGTTCCTACGTAGTATGTCAGTACTCACCATCTGTTTTTTATAGCACTGTTTACTCTTTATTTCAATATTCTTGAAGCTTCCGAATTCATATCTGCCCTTCTTTGTCTTTTATTTATTTATTTTTTTTATGACTTGCCACCTTGTATTCCAAATTTTATCGAAGGTTTTTGTGTAATGTCTACGAAATTATATTTATTTAGTTGTTTAGGAGAGCTTTGGAGCATCTTATTAGAAGCACAAAACAGTCAAGATGGGATCCCTGCATCTTTTGTTGAAAAGAAAATGAAGGAGTTGCAAGAGAAGGTAGTTTATGTTCGTTAAGCATTGTCTGCATCCATTGCTTGATATTGGCGACTTTGTTTCGTATAGAAGATGTTTGCTGCTCAATCGTTCTTATCACAGTTTTAATTTATTAATGACCGGTCGATCTTGCAGGCGAAAAATAAAACGCCTTCTTCTTCTAATGGTGCTGCCGCAGAAGCAGCAGGATCAGATTGGAAGGATCGTTATGAGTCGCTCACAGGTGGACGTTACGGCACAAAAGATACCAATGGCGAAAGAAAGGTAATGCGTTTCTAGTCGTCCCACGTTTAGTCTTATTATTCATTTGCTCTTATGAGGGAAAATCAGGGTGACGATCGACGCCAAGATCGCAAGGATTCGGAAGGCGGTCGTGATTATGAAAGAAGCGAAAGGGAGGGAAGAGAAAGAGAGAGGAGAAATCGAGATCGTGACCGAGAAGATCGAAGGAATGAAAGAGATAGAGACGCTCATTACAGCAGTAAGCGTAGTGAAAGAACCCATGAAGAAAGTCGAACGCGTGAAAAAGACCGAGATGATGTAAAAGGTACGGTGTAACTTCTTCTTTAGTGTTGTTTAAGAACATTGTTCTAAAAACTTTTTTATTATTAGTCTTTATCATTGCTCATTAAAAAATAATACAAATGAAATGTCGTTTCCAGGTTTCTTTCAACATAGTTTTTTTAATTGTACAGTTGAAAGTATATGTAGAAATTAATCCATGAACAGAAAAAGAAAGGCGCAACGAAAAGGACGACCGCTTGACACGACGCACCAGCCGTTCTCCCCAAAGACGTAGACGTTCTTCTAGTGATGGAGGGCGAAGGAAAGCAAGAACGCGTTCCCGCACTCCTAAGAAGTAATCATTTGCGAAATTTCTCGCTGCATGTGCCATATGAGTGCCTATTTTCAGTCTTTTTGGTCTATTACTGAAAAATTTTAAGATCACCTCCACGAAGGCGCTTTACAGAGAAAAAGGAAGAAAAAATTGAACGAAGTGCTGAAAAGCATAAGAGAAGGTTAGTTACTTAAGTATGTAAAATAGGCTGAATATATTAATGTTTATGCTTATGCTTTAAGAAAAGCCGTTACTAGAGCAATTATTATCTTTAGATTTATCTTGTACGTTTGGTAAGTGGGGAAGTTTGTGAAAGCAAGCCACATTTGTTTAAATCATTTGATATTTAGAAAGCGAGAGTCTAGTTCGTCATCTGTAGAAGAGGAGGACGAAGGAAAGCGGAAGCAAGTTTTTTTTATTCTTTCTTTCGAGATTTTGTCATATAGTCTTTTTGTACCGACTTTGACTCAGTCTCTTCTGGTGGTGCAAGTTGTCTATATCAGCATCGCAGCTGTTGTTATTCTAGTGAACAGTTTCAGGAGGAAGAAGAAAACCTCTCGAAACCAAAGTGACCCCGAGTCAAACCACGGAGAAAAAAAGCGGAGGAAACACCGCCATCGCCGTCGGGATGATTCTGATCTTGACCGTTCGGAAAGGAAGCATAAGAAGCACAAAAAAGAGAAAAAGCATAGGAAAAAACATAGCAGCTCAGAGTCCGAATAGAGTTGTTGTTAACTCATTGTACAGTATGTATTGTTGCTGTATTTGTTGCTAATTGCTTTCATAGTGCATCTGTGCGAGTCTTCAGAAATGATGGGATCTGCAGTCTCAAGGAAACTCAACTTTTATCACCCGTAGGTCCCAAGAAATTGTTCTTTTTTTTAAACATTTTTTTGGTTGTTTCCAACCACCTTGTGTTACAATAAGTTTGGTTTCTCTTTCACAATTTCATTTTTTTCTAAAATGTTTTACAGTTGCATTCTTTTTCTTGCAAAATAAGAGCAGTTCTTGAATTTATGCTAGAGATGGATGTACAGTAATTATGCTTGCAGTATATAGAGGTTGTTGAGGTTGATTTGCAACAGAAAGACTGCTTAACTGAAGTCTTTGATTCATTTGTTGAATTTCGAGTGTTATTATCAGTTCATTTCACTGCTTAAGGCCTGTTATATTGTTGGTAAAAAACTTACAAATTTGTTTTACGTCTTAGTGTTTTTTCAATTGAACGGAAATCATCCAAAGTTTGTTGAAGTAAAAGTCATCTTTTGATAACTATGTTTCTTTTATCTGGCTCAACTAGTTTCGACGAGGAACACTACTTTAAGGGACTCAGTTTAGCTCACTTGCTAGTTGGAGCCCGGAACAGTACAATGAGTTTAAGAATCTAAATTTGCACCCGTAATAGCTAACATAATGCTCATGCAACTCTACTGTACAGCCATCTCACTTATTCATGAGGATAAATAGTGAATCCCCTTCAAGGACGGCGCACTGTAAAAGAACGATACTAGAATAATATTTAGGTGGTACTTAATTGAAATTACCACTATAAATTACTAGGAAACGAGATGGGCCAGCTGGGTTCTGCCTAAAAATACAACTAGTCCCTTGTACGAGCATCCACTATAACTGAGGGAACTTTAACAGTGATTTCGGGGTCATCTTCGCCTGTGAGCACTATCTGACAAGCCAATCTGGAGTGTTCTTCTAAAGCTGGACTTAAATCAAGCAAATCCAGTTCTTCCTCACTGGGTGGTGGTACCCTGTAATGTTTATAATACAATATTTTTTAAACTGCTTACTTAAAAAAAGAGTTGGAACAAAGTTGCCTACCTTTCATAATGTGACTTCTCCAAAATAACATGGCATGAACAGCAAGCGAGGGCTCCTCCACAGGCACCAAATCCGTCCAGTGGGATGTCGTTATTTTCAACAACTTCCAAAAGAGTATCACCAATATTTGCGACCGCAGTATGAACCCCCTCATTGCTCTTAATTAATACCTTAATTCCCCTGCAAAATTAGACTGCAGAAAGGTCCCTATTCGGTCAACCTTGTTACCAAACAAAGTTACTTTGTTTTAACACACAGCAATGTCCTGAAATTCAAACAAAACTGTGAATATATCCTACAACGGCGTAGGATGGGGACAGAACCTTGCGTTTTCTTCACATAACTACTTTTCAAATGA